CTCTGTCACCCAGGCTGGAGTGCAGTGGCACACCAACGGTCACCGCAGCCTCGACCTGCTGGGCTCCGGTGATCCTTCTGCCTCAGTCTTCCAAGCAACCGGAACTACAGGCGTGTGCTGCCATGCCTGGCTAATTTTTAAAAATTTTTTTTATTGTAGAGATGAGGGCTTACCAAATTGCCCGGGCTGGTCTTGAACTCACGGGCTTAGGCAATCCATTCGCCTCAGTCTCCCAAAGTGCTGGGATTACCGAGCCCGGCCTAAAATATTTTAAAATTGGAATGTGGTGATGTCTGCACAACTCTCTATGTGTTAAACATCATTGAATTGTATTCATTTAAAATGGGTGAATTTTGAGGTATTTAAATAACACCTCAATAAAGTGGTTAGCTCTGAACATGAACGCCCTTGAGACTCAGTGAAGCAAAATGACTGCGACCAACTCAAAATTCACCACTGACATCTCCCCAGTTACTCCCTTGCTTTTTACCCCCAGCTCTTTGCCTGTGTGCTTTCATAATAAACCTGAACAGAATTCGGAGACTGTATGCAGAGTGATTTGCTAAACATCGTCAGAAAGGACGCTAGAAAGATGAGGAGAGAATGGCACGTGATCGAAGGTGGTTTAAGATTCTGCTCAACTGACCTAAGATTTGGCCATGGAGTGTCAGGGTCTCCAGGCAAAGCAGCCAGCAGATGACAGCACTGGCTGAAATGGAGCACAGATCTTGCAGGCCCAGCATGTTGCCACGGACTTGGCGAAGGGAGAGGAAACCGAATATTCTTGCTATGGAAAATTGCTTATTTTTGTTTGCTCTTCAGCCCAGCTGAGATCTAGGAGAAGAGGCAACAGGAAATAGGAGGGAGGCCAATACAAACTGTGCAAGTTCAAGTGTACTGTTTTTAAAGAAGAACTGGTGAGACATCTTCAACAGTAAGAAGACCTCATTTCCTTTGTCGGAGGGCTTCACTGAATTATGTTGGGGATATCCCAGTATCAACAGTCATGGAGCACTTCTAGACTGAATTTTCCACATGCAGGAGGCCCTGGCACTGTCATGTCCATCTGCAGCGAGGGTGAGTATCCAGGGAGGCACAATGAAGATCCCGCCAGCAGTTGATGCCATCCAGGGCCTCAGAGAAATGCCCCCCAGCTATCCACAGGGCATGCCACTAATTTGGGGACCACTGCAGCACCTGGAGAGCTGAGCTGTGCCATTGCAAAACCCTTCTGATTAAGTGACCTCGCACTCATATCTGGGCCCTTAGGAGAACGCCCCTGATTCCCTGGGAGTTGTAAGTCCGGGAAGTGTCATTTCTCCCTGGCAGCAGTGGCACTTCTTTCTCATGTCCGTCTCTTGGCTTGTTCCCAAAACACGGCCTGAGGAGAGCCTGGCCTCTCTGCAAATGCCAGAGGCTTGACCATTAGAATCAGAATTTTACAGAGGAGCTCAGAGAGCAGGGACACTCTAGGATGAACTTTGCAGAATAACCAGACACTCAAGAGATTATATTGCCAGTGTGTGACACAGGCCACTGCAGGAAACTTGCCCGCTTACTGTGTGAACACGGCTTTGATATTGGCAGGATCTTTTAAGACTTCTAAAGTAACAACAGGTGTCAGACTCCTGTTAGATTCTTGCATCTTCCTGTTTCAAATTTGTTGGGAATAAGGACGGGTATTGCAGTGTGACTGATTATTGTCACTTGAACCTGCCCCTCTCTACCTTAGAAACATTCGTGAAGAGGCTAGAAACCACGCTTTCTTGAATTCCTGACATGTGCTGGATGCTGTTCTCGGTAGTTTAAATAGTGCATCTCACACAATTCTTCTAGTGGCCCGAGACAGATGCGTATCATTTCCATTCCTACAGATGAGAAAATTGAGGCTCAAAGATGCGCCATTCACCTAGGGAGAGTCAAAGCTTCACTTCCTGGCGTTGCTTACACAAGGCCCTCACTCTCTCCATAATACTATACTGTCTGTGGAACATTCAGCCTTTGGGAAGTGGATACAAATTATTTTAAAGGACCATAAAGATGCGAAGTGATTTCCACTCAGGCTGGCCCTCTTGAGTCTATTTGAGTGAAACCAGAGATGACAATTTTTGTGGTCTAGAATGGCTTGCTAAATTTAGGTCCGCCTCCCCTCGATTTATTTATCTATTTTTTGCCAAATAAACCTTGTGTCAAGCCAAGGTCAGTGCAGACTTGAAGAAAAAAACCTCCACAGGTTGAACTTAGGGTTTAGAATAAGTCTTCACATCAGAGGCAAAAATGGTCTCTGCCTAACCAGTCCTTCTTCTGGGTGGGTGCCAAGACTGTACAGGCTCCTCTAAATCCTGTACCATCATCCCACCTGCCCCACCCTCTAGGGAGGAGCTCTGCTGGCCCCAGGACATTGTCAAGGCGGGGATGCTGGTTGTGCCTCTTTGTTGGTGACCCTGGAGGACTGCTGGTTGTGGGCATGAGGGGTGGGGAAGGGGAAGTCCTTCTGGCAGAGAGGAGATGGGAGAACTGGCCCAGTTGTCCATTATCTGCCTTCCCTATGAGGAGGAAAGCCTAAAACTCAGCATTTTCAAGAAGTTTAGCTCATGGTAAGACTCGGAGGGATAAACAAAGTGGGAGAAGCTCATTTAGCGGATATCAAGAAGAGGACTTGGCAGGAACAGTGGCTCTTGTCTGTAATCCCAGCAGTTTGGGAAGCCAAGGCAGGAGGATTGCTTGAGCCTAGAAGTTTGAGACCAGCCAGGGCAACATAGTGAGACTTTGTCTCTACAAAAAAAAAAAACAAAACTAAAAATTAGCTGGGCGTGGTGGCATGCACCTGTAGTCCCAACTACTCAGGAGGCTGAGATGGGAGGGTTGCCTGAGCCTAGGAGGTCAAGGCTGCAGTGAGCCATAATTATGCCACTGCATGCCAGCAACA